CCACGAGGATTTGTACAGCTTCTGGTGCGTTCTTGAGAACCACTTCCACAGGATTTGGTGCATGAAGTCCAACCGCTCCAACGTGACCAGTCGCCGTGTACTGAATTGTAAGAAATAGAAATAGTACATCAGCTATACGGGTGTGTACCTCAAAACACCAGAGAGTCCTGAGACGGCCTTGGGGGCGGAGAAACGGAGGTGACCAAGTCAGGGTTGGCTTCCGTTTTGCATTGAGCAGCTGTAATAACGAAGGCTAGTTTCATAGACTAATCATAAGATGTGAATAAAAGAACTCTAAATAACTAAGGACAGCAATCTAACTACTTACCTGGGCAAGGCTGTTGGTTGCATGATCGCACCAGCTTTGCGGACCCTTGGCAAGATTTGCCACCATGTTGTGGACGAGGATTTGTACAGCTTCTGGAACGTTCTTGGGTACCAGTTTCACAGGATTTGGTGCATAAAGTCCAACCACTCCAACTTGACCAGCCACCGTGTACTGAATTGTAACAAATGGAAATAGAACATCAGCTATAAGGACAATTGGAGACGACTGCAGACAGTTGCTGATTAACATTATGAACGATAGACAGGTTAATTAGAAAGAAGTATTTCTCTCGGTACGGACATGTGGATTGGAATTTTTATCAAAGGGGAAGGGACGGGAAGGATTTGTATATGTTGGCACTTTAAATTTGAATTGCTATCAAATCATGTTTATATGTTTTCGTCACTTGATTTTTAAATATGTAAATGAACTAAAAGGCCAAAGAAACACTAGACAATATTTCAAGAACGCGTCCAAAGATAAAAAAAGACGCAAAAAATGAAATAAACAAGCAAATAAAAACCAAGCAAAACAAATAAAAAAGAACATGTCATTAAACAAAGAAACTGTACAAAAACAACAAAACGGATGACATAAACTACAAAATGTCATTGCAAAGCCAAACGATCAGCGTGTCTAAACGTCAAAGGTTTCCGGGAACAGCCACCTTAAAGAAAGCCCATCTTTACCATGAACAGGACTTATCATTTTATCTTTCTTATTCTAATAACGCAGTGTTTCCACTTAGCGAAGTCACATCTAGTTTTTACCGGGGCATTGGTTCTTGTTACAAGTCATCTTAACTCGTGTTGGGCCTATGCAAGGTCTCCCGCCATGTTTTGGCCGTGGATTGGTACAGCTTCGAAAACGTTGTCGAGAACCACTTCCACAGCTTTGGGAGCATGAAGTCCATCTGCTCCACTTTGACCAACCGCCATTCACTATGTACCAATTGGACACATTGATAAAGTTGCATGTTAAATATAAAAGAAGCAAAGCGTAGGACAGTCTTGGAAATACAAAAGCTAAGAGGAGGGAAAGAATTCTGTAAAGAGAGGGTTTTTTTGTCCGTATTTCCTGACCGGGTAAAAAAGAGGCGTATATAGAAAACCAAAAGTGCCATATCCGAGTTCCAAATACTCTCAAAATTCAAAATTAACCATTTAACTCCTATGAGTGACCAAGACAGAATTTCTCCTTACAATATCCGGCAATACAATACTAAGCAGACAAGTGATGAGAATATAGAAGACTATCAAGCAGGGGATCATTGGTTGATCCAATATCAAATCCCCCAAACTCACATCATAAAATTGTATAGCAGAAGGTAAGGAGAATTACTAATCAGATCTTGGGAGTGAATGGGTTAAGAAGGTTGAGATAACTGAGCACAAAAGTTCAAAGTCCAAAAAATTAGAAAACACTTAAAGTGTAAATGACATGGAATTTTTTTTCGTTGATAGTTCGTTCGATATGCATAATTAACATTTTCAGAGTTCAAAATGAATGAAAGAAATTTTTTGGTCGATTTTTAGCGCCCGAAACACGCTAAATTCAAGTGTAAATTTGTTCCCGGAGACTGGGGCGAGAATTGGACTCGTGACGTCTGGTTCTTTGATCCCTTGATTGGCAAGGTCAACAACTTTCAGTGTTTTCCTTAGCTCGTAGTTTAAACGAAAAATATGTGTTTATAGTCATTTGCAACGATTTTAAACTCTCGAACCGTTTGTTATATATATCGAACTAGCAGAAAACGAAAAAAAAATTTCGTGTCATATACACTTTAAGGGCCTCTTATAAAAAAAGAATACCATGATGTTTGAACTTCTGTTTTTCATCTGTAAGCTTAATTGAAGTCTAATTACCTCTCCGGTTTCTTTCTTATGAGAACATTTCAACAAAGAGGGGAAAAATTGATATTTCAGATCTATCTTTGTTTTCTCACCTGGACAGGGGCGTAGTGTACAGGCTCGATCTTGCTGCGATGAGCCAGGGCAAGTTTTGCCGCCATTTTTTGGAGACGGTTTTGTGCAGCTTCGTGTGCGTTTCTGTTTACCAGTCCCACAGCGAGCGTCGCACACGCTCCATGAACTCCAAGTGGACCAGCCTCCGTTGACTGAAAGGCGAAAATCATAATTGATTAGTATCATAGTAAGATGTAAGTGCAAGCGGTGAAAAGGAGGAAGATAGAAGATACCAATGAACTCTTTAATGCCTGGGTTCTAATTTCCCTTCTCGGTATCACCCTCGAATCAAATGAAAAGGTGATGAGCATAAAGGAAATGATCACCAATATAAGAGGCTCCTGATTGTCAAACAAATTCTCCTTTTCGGTATCGTAGGAAATGTAAAGTGAGCAGTGTGGAGAATATCCGTGTCAGAGTGGAAAGGTTGCACGCAAGGAAGGGAAAAAATTTTAAGAAGTCTCTTCCTTGTTAGGCATGGCTAACATCTTCATGAAACCTCCGAATATTCTATAGTGCATGCGCTGAAGTTACACGCGCACGAACGAAAAAGAGACCATCAAGGGACCGAACAAATCGACGAAGCAAACAGTCCCTTAGACTCTCCATGAATTATTACTTTCAGGTATTGTTTGTAATAAGTTTATTTTACCTCTAGTACAGCATTGTCCGCCATATCCGCTCTTACAGAGACATCGACCAGTGAGAGCAAAACCCCCATTAGAACATCCTCGATTGCAAGCACGTGTTTCTCGCAGCGGAGGACACGAGGACCCACCACATGAAGGTCGCCTTGTTACAGTGCGTGTACGAGTCTGTGTCCCTCCGTTACCACATGGCTGGCTACATGAACTCCATTGATTGAAAGAAGTGACGGCACAGTTTGTTCTTGGGCACCTCCGTCTTCGCCTTCTCCTCCACCCTTCTGTTTGGGTGGCCAACATAATTAAAATCACGAAAATCCATAAATGTTTTGCAGTCATCTTGACAGGCTTTAATTTAAAGCAGGAATTGTTTGTCTTGCCGTTGGGAGATGTAAGCACTTTGGACGTCGTCAAAAAAGTTCCCTTCTCTGAAATGAATATTCAGAACACACTACGGTTAAAATAAAGAGGATGCGGGGATTGGAACTGTCTACCGAGTCGATCATTTCATGCAAAAATGATTCGAGAAACCCAAGCAGAGGTACACGGAAGCATAATTGTCGGTATGCTTATGGGCAGTCAGCTCCGCTGGTGGTTTTTCAAGCGCAGGACAAAACTATTGGCAGCGGACATTTGAGTAATGAACAAAGGGAGTAATGGGCGCTTAATCTTAGCAGAGGAAGTTAAAATAAAGGGGTAAGTTTCTAAAGAAACTGTGATGCTGCATCGATGGGGGTATTACAAGATAATTTGCTTTCCTATCAACAGAGTCGATAATGTCCATGCATTGGCCTCCGAAAAGGACGGTTTCTTGCTGACATTTTGAGCGTGGGCCTTTCGTCAGAGCTCAGGATTTTCTCGACGACGAAAGACTTCTTTCTCATGTCGGCCAAGTATAATCACTTCACAAGCATTTGAAAACCCTTTCTTGTTGACAAAGAAAACAAAGTGTGCGTGAAACGCGCGTAAAATCACTCCGTCAACTATTGACTGAACACACGACAGAGCCCAAGCTGAGCAAAGGACAGCTCATGCACATAATACTGTCGCAAATGTCCGCTTGCATGCTTCTCACAAAGATGTAACATAAAATCTTAGCTTTCTCCTCAAAATTTTGCCAGTAAGAATCAATTTCGATCTATAATCCGATAGAAAAAGATCAAATCAGTTCTTTTCCTAATAGGATCCAGTTCTCAGCAAGAGATTTCACTTTCCACTGACGAACATAGCTATGACGCATTCTATCAAGGTAAACAACTTTGGACTCGCTTAACTTGTTTGCCTGTATCTGGCTTGTTTAAAAAACCGAACTGGAGAATAGTTTATGAAATCACCTGAAAATAAAAAGCCAGTATAACTATATTCTAGAAAACACATAGTTTGCTCTTGCTTTCCAAGCGATGAAAGTGCTTTAGCAAAACACAATGGCCGTCGAAGGCGCACGTTCGTATAGTCTAGACTGTATCGGTATTAGGCTTTGAAGAGTGTCTTCAATTCTTTTATATATCGCAAAGCAGTCTGATTTTACACCCTGATACCCATTAGAAGACTTAGAAACCTCTTCTATTGACAAAAGTACTTCATAAGCTATATGTATACTGACCGCAACGCAGCTTTCAGAAACTTCAGATAATATATAAAATCATGTCGACGGAAAACCTTGCAGCGTTCATAATTTTGCTTCAATAACAATTATTCTTTTACTTGAAATGGTGATTGTGACACTTACCTCAACTGTTCAAAAATATGCCTCCTCTTCGACCCAATGAAACTGACCACGCTGTATAACTGAGATTTGCCCAGACTTTATTATGACGTGACAAGAACGAAATTTGAATAGTGATCAGTAGCACTTCCTTTTAGCACGATTCAGCGAAATATCAATTCCTTGAGATTTCATAATTTCCCTTCAGGCCCAGAAATGCAACAATTAACTTTCGAAAAAACAATTAGTTTTCAATAAAATTTTCGAAATAGCACAATGGGTATTCAATAAAGAAGCGTTTAGCTAATTTGCATCGTTACATTTGACCGTGACGGGAATCTAAGTAGATCGTCTCTATTACGTCATGTCACGCAGATTGCGCAAACCGGAAAGGCGTTAACCGTGTTCCTCCCGTGTTTCCTTCAGCTCTAGCTCATTCACAGGGGGCCCAGACAAGCGACGAGTCTGGTTGTTTGTTCGAAATATAAAAGAATGTATGGGAGAATATTGAAGAGTCTTATTATCGTAAACTTATATCATGAAATGTCTGAGTTAAAGCTCGAAATAAATGTAAACCTACCTCACTTGCTGTGTATTGTCGTTTCAGTGGCTCTAAGTGGCGAATTTGAGCGATTCGGTGGGTTTTGCGTCGACTGTTACTATCTTATAACGTATAGTAACAGTCGACGCAAAACCCACCAAATCGCTCAAATTCGCCATTTAGAGCCACGGAAACGGCAATACACAGCAGGTGAGGTAGGTTTCCATTTATTTTGAGCTTTAACTCAGACATTTCATGATATAAGTTTACGATAATAAGACTCTTCAATATTCTCCCATACATTCCTTTATATTTCGAATAAACAACCAGACTCGTCGCTTGTCTGGGTGCCCTGTGGCTCATTCAATGCGGAATAAAGGAAACAATCGCTTTGGGAGACATAATTAAATTTTAGTCTTAGGACTGAAAGGAAAACACAAATGCGGTTTTATATGCTAACAATTCCCACGCAGGTCGACACAAAGCGAGTGTTTAGTCACGCAATCTTCGTTTCGTCTTCGGCCGACAAAAACTTTGGGAAAACAAAAAGTAACATCCAAAACCCACTAAAAATTAAGGAATTTAAAGATACCTTCAACGTAAACAGGCCAGCGACTAAATTGGCGTAGTATACAAGGTCTCACGAGAACTATTTTAATTTGAAATTGGCTAGAGTGTAAAAGAATGCTTGAGCTCTGTGGGCAGTTTTGAAGTGTCGAGTTTAACTGCTAAAACTCCCCAGTGGCGTGAGGAGAGGGGGACTTCAGTCCCTATAATCTGATTATTTCGCAAACAATGATAACTTTCCGAAGGAATTTGCATATTTCATTCTATCAGAAAGAAACACTGCCTTCAGTCAACTTGTAAATGACGAACCAGATGACATCTTATAAAGAGGAAGTTAGCTCTGTCGGATCATCTAGAATTAAAGGCACTCTGTCACCTAGAGTTTTTTATTTATAGCTATTATTATCATATAAGGGGCAAAATTACTGAATTGTGATTGGTCAAGACAGAGGGCATTCTTTCTTAATTTTTGTAATCTTCGGCCCCGGGCAAAATTACTTGAAAATGATTGGCTGAAAATCGCTTAGCAACGGCCGCCAAGGTAAAGAAATTTTTGCTTGTTTTGTAACAATGGCGTTCCGTTTTGTGCGAGATCAGTAAGAAAACATTACGCCCCTTATATCATAAACAAGTAATCACATGGTTCCTCGTAAAATTAAGGATTAATATCACTTGTGTTTTCAGAAGTTGCAGAAATTGCCCTCGTCGCTGCGCGACTCAGGCAATATTTCAGCAACTTCCGAAAACACGCGTGATATTAATCCTTAATTTTACTCGGCCCCATGCGATTACCTATACTTATTCATATTAGAGTGATGGCGATAGTGATGTTGACAATGATGATGATAACAATAAAAATGATGTCGACGATAAAAGACTTTTTTTAACTGTTTTCGAGAGATAATAAACTGTTTATAATCTCTTGCATATTTCTATCCTTCCAGAAACGAATGATTCAATGCGCAAAATATTTTTATATTTTCTTCTGGATCTATATCTAACGAACACTAGAAAGTTAAGATGTGATCCAGCGTATTTTATGGCTAAAACTACTAGTTTGAATTGAATTCGATATCAAAATTTAACACTCCGAAAGGTATCCTATCCATGCTAAAATTATTCTCGAAAAAGTACAATTTATCCTCACAATTCTCTTGTGCGGGGCGCTTGAGGAAAAATGCGATCGCCCACCCCAGCCAGCTGTTCGAAATCGGAAAGCTTTGTAGCCTCGCCCGCAATATCCCAGCCGGTCCGCCAGTTTTGTTTTGTATTACAGCTTCGTCAAATAAAGCACATGGTCAAGGCGAGCTTTTGCTATGAAATTCTAGACAGCAAAGTCGGCGTTTTGTTACAAAGCAAGATGCTGGCGCATTTTGCTCGAGGAAGTTCGGAGGTTGATTGGTGTGAATCAAATTATGCCTATGTTTCCTTCATCGCTGAATTTTATAACACGGTAAGGCAAATCGGCAATTTTGAGTTTATAATTGAATAAGATGTAAGTTCTTGTTCGAAAGCGATCCTAACGTCGCTTCTCTGAATATTGCACTAAGCAAACGATCGATGTTAACTGAGGAATGTTTTTAATTCAGGTCAGTAATGCTGTGTTCCTTGTTCTTCCGCCATTTTTTATGTAAGTACTATTTTTTTTCCCTAATCCTTGGACTGTCGTCCTCAAACCATCTTCGTTTACTTTCATCCTTTAAAAATAAGTCTTTTCTTCCCGTACCTTTGTCAAGATCACCTGTTATGATGTTTATTATTGGTTATCGTGTAATATATAAAAGAACGCAAAAATACGACCTGAACTGAAACTACAATTGGAAAGATTCTCTTCAGCTGCCGAAGATTGTTTGCGGGAAAATGATTTTGCTCTCCTTTTAGCTTGCGCTGTGAAAAAATTAAGATATTGACTTAACGTTACTTTCTTAAGAATGTCCACAATAAAACAGATTTGATTGTTTTGACTGAACGCAAAGTAAATATTCCTGAAACGTGAATTATTTGCAACTTACATGTCGTACAGATCGACGCCCAAACAACAAACATTATGCAAAACGACAAAACTGAAAATTCTCGACCATCCTTTCTCCTTATTTCTGTTAACGATTTAAAATACCCTCTTTGCTCAATGGAAAAACAAAAACAGCCAAAAAAAACAAAACAAAACAAAACCATCTAAAACGAAAGAATAAATACAGACCACAAATTTCAAAAGGTATTCAGATTGCGGGGGAGTAAACATTGGTAACAGGTAATCGAAAAATACCAGGCAACCATTTTCAGGAATTTGCATAAAATCTACATGTCAAAAAGTAAGCGTTCAATGATAATAATAAAAGAAAATCTATTACATGATGTTCGTTTTTAGAAACCTAAGTCAGAGAACGAGCAGAAACTAATTCAAAATTACTTTTCCCCTGATTTTCTTACGAGGAAACGACCGAGTAAGGCCTAGTTTATACGTCGCGCTACAGTCAAATTTAATTCAGACGAATTCAATTCAAGGTCCCACATTCGACGATAGCGCGACGTCTAAAACGAATTAAATTCGTCTGGTAAATTAAATTCGTCTGGTAAATTAAATTCGTCCTTGACGTTTTATCCGTCTTCATAATTCGGATAAAATATCGGTAACGCGTCTTCAGTTTTAACGTCGCACTAGCGTCGCGTCGAATGAAACGCATACATTTTCTTAATGTATTTCCATTTATTTCAAAATGACACCTCTGGCCAGAGGCACTGCATTTGGGACGGAGAATTAAATTTGATCGTATCGATTTCGACGCATAAAACCACGCCACGATTTACGTCGACGGAACGACGAATTTAGTTAAATTTGTCTGAATTAAATTCGACTGTAGCGCGACGTAATGTTTAATTGGAACGTCGAACTGCGCCATTGTCGAATGTTCGGTTGTAGACTAAGGCCCTGTCTATACGTCGCATTTAATGACACGAATTTAATTGATGAATTTTTTTCGTCTGGGAGACGAAATTAAATGTCAGTTCATTTTAGACGTCGAATATAATTTCGATGTCGTTTTGTGCCTGCATTGACTTTGATCGGCGGACAACTTCCAAAAACAACATGGCAGCGTTCAGNGACGTCTGAGATATTACGTACCGCCAGTGACATTAAAGAAGCCGCCAGTTGAATGCTAAGTGCATCGAGATCGCTTCAAAATTAAAATTTGTCTCCCACGAAACGGGAAGCGAGATTTATCAACAGAAGTTTGTTGGGTCCTCGTGCGATTCGTTTATTTGCGGACGTTCATTAAGTGAAAAGAATTATTAATCACCAAACCGCTTCAATGGTCCCTACCGCATAGGTGTTAAAATTGACTCCATGCATACAGGTTTAGTCATAAGGCAAAGAACAAAACCAGCAAAAGCCATCTTGTTTGAGTGCTGTTTTTCTTGAAGATATATATGTCATTCACCAGCCACAAGGTCTGTGTTGGGAAAAACTGTGCCCAAGCTCTTAGATACCATGATTATGATAATCCACGCTAAAAGCTCCATCCTGAATCCACAAGAACCATCCCTGGATGTTTTACGTTTTAGTTCAAGTAGTAGCATTTGTAGATCACTGTGAATCACTGAGCGGCGTCTGAAACGGTCTGAGCCCGGGTCTAGGGTGCACCGGAACCGGAAGTCACATTGTAGGCTATGTCCAGTCTAGTACCAGTGTGCATGTTAACATGAACCACATGTTTATTTGAATTTCATTGTGGATTTGTTGCGTTTCTTTCCTGTAGACCAGCGGCTTATAATTAAAAAAATATATATTTTTTGGACTTAGCTGCAATTTTTTGAGAGCATAATTTTGAAAAAAGGGGCATAATTTGGAAAAAAGAGCATGATTTTAGCATAATTTCGCCAGAAAAAGCAATGCTATTAGTACGATATGCTACTTTTACTAGCATAATCTATAAAGGCTTAGCCGGGAGGCTGTACAGTGATTACTCTGCTAAGGAACTGCGCGAGATAAAAAAAAAAACTTCATTTTAATCTTTTATGTTCTCTGTATTGAGTGTCTGAAGACTTATTTAAGTCTACTTGTATCTTAAGAAATTCAGCTGGACCTACTTAATGCGCTACGGCACCAATCAGCGGTTTTCCCTTATAATTATGGCCCAACCCCGGGGACCCTAGGGGATTTGTCCAAAAGCCCATTCAAACCTCATCAAATCCCACTGGGCTTAGGGCAGAGGAATTCTGACAAATCCTCTACCTCTGGATGCAACAATAAGGAACAGTGTATCCGTTATCGCCCAAATTTACGAATTTAATACACAAAAACTAGTTCCTTGCTTTGCTTAGGCCCGTTTTAAACGTCGAATTTCACATATGTCGAGTCTAATGCTAATGAAAAAAATGTTGTCCTCGCCCTCTTTGGGTTCCCGTGGGTGCCTCGGAGTGGGCTGCTGATTGACGCATAAAACGAAAAACTAGGACAAAAAATCGAATTTTCAGTGCTTTTCGATTCGATATCATTAAGTGAACCCAAAACAAACAATGCAATCACAGCCAATCAAAGCAAAGTTCATAATCATAAAGAGCCGCTGGGAACAAAAAGAAAACGCACGTGAAAACCACCAAGGGCGGGAAAACGCGGGATTATTAGTCACATCACGATTGGTTTTGAAGCGCATTTCAATCAAGTGGCGTAAAATCAAAACCTAAGTAATCTCAACAGCTAATAATGAGGAAAATCTCAAGTACCAATGGGGGCTCGAAATAAAAATAAACAAACTGCTTTAAGCGCGGGAAATTTACCGGTGACCAAGTCGCGCTTTGTTTTAATTTTGAATCTGATTGGTTGACCATCGATCAATCACACGGCAGTGTAAAGCAGAGCCAATGCAATCCCTAATAACTTCGGAGAGTGAATTGAAATTTGCTCTATCCTGCATTTGATAGGTTACGAAAATAATTAATCGACAATGTCCTCTCAAAATCAAAACAACGGCGGTTTACTTATTTTTCAGATACCTGTTTCGTCCATACTCAAAGCATGTCTGCTCTGGGGTCAACATCGTCTGGGTTCTGTTCGTTGTCATTGGATTGAGTTCAGCTTATTTTCACGCAACACTTAGTCTCGTGGGACAGCTTCTGGACGAACTGGCCATTTTGTGGGTTTTAATGGTAGCACTCGCCTTGTGGACACCAAAATGGATGCTTGCTCTCAGTCCGTTTGGAGGAGACAGGTATTTATAGGTCGTACAAGAAGTTGAGGCAGTGAAAAAAAAATGAGATTTTGACACGAATAGCACTTTAACTTTTCTCCCTTTTTTTTTGCTTTTTTTTCGCTCTTTCTCTCTCCTTTTCAATTCTCTTTTCTTCGTATTAGTTCTTACATCAGTTCAACCAGAAAACAATTTTTCGTTTTTTGCTCGTAACATTTGGGCGATCTCAGGTGTGAGTTTTGAATAACATCGTCCAGCATGATCAGCCTTGAAGATTTTTTCCTCTCAGACGTACTTCGCTTCAACCGTCCAAAAGTTACATACATCACAGAAATCTCATACAGCACAGTACATGCAGTAAGGTCGGGTGGCGCTTTGTGCCGGGTTATGGCCCATTTGAAGTTAATGTCTCATATTTCCTTCACATTGGTTACGCGATATGTCGACTAATTTTGACGTTGATTGCAGTTGTTTCGGCCTCTTGACCAACATTTTACTACCCCAACATATCTCTCCGATTTGCACCTTTTTGTGCATCTTCGGGGGAATTACTAATATTTGCCATGATTATGCCGATTTTCGTTACGCTCAGAGAAACATTCCAGTACGCTGTCCTCGCCCTGTCCTTGGTCTGTACGTGGTTAGGATTTGTCTATCCAGTAGCAAATGCATTTGTTTTGATGGCGTTTGGAGCTCCATTCCTCCTCATGCTATTTGCTGAACTTAAAAGGTGACTCAGTTGCACAACTGACTGACTGTAATGATTCAAAAAAGCACTCTCATTCCAATAAGCGCTCCCTCTCAAGTAAGCACCCCCCTCGAATCTGTTTTTGTCAATAAGCGCCCCTACTTTAAATAACTGCTTAAGCACCCTCATTGCAAATGTGCTCCTCTTCAGTTTCAGTAATAGCAACAACAGAGTACAATCCTTACCATTATCATTCGAATATTAACCAATATTAACCATTTATAGCTCCTGATATAGTTCCTTAAAAAAAAAAACATCAAAGCTCTGCTGTTTCTCAAAAAAGGAAATAAGCGCTTTGTCCTTAATAAGCACCCTGTTTCGAATAAACGCCCTCCCTAGAGGTACGTACAACTAACGATAATTCTATCATTTTTCCCTTTCTTTACTTTGCAGATGTAAAGATTTAAAAGTTAAAAGATTGGGATTCACATGTGTTACATGGTGGTTTGCTGCTGTTGTTTTCTGGATAAATGATCGTGCATTCTGCGACATTTGGCGGTCTGTCTCTTTCCCATACCTTCACTGCGCATGGCACATTTTAATTTTTATAGCATGTTACACTGGTTGCGTTCTGGGTTCATATTTCTACGCTGCAACAGAGTTTCCTCAATTGCGTCCGGCTTTATCCTTCTGGCCTCGTTGGTCCTGTGAGTGGGGAGTTCCTTATGTGGTATTAAAGGGGGTAACAATGGAAGAAAATCCCTGATGAAAATTCTGTTATGGAGAGAACGATCTGAGCAGCAACCGAGAGAGACACTTTGTCCTGAGCTCTAACTTCTTGGCAGTAATAGGGTTACCACAATCACTTCTCGCCCTGGTCTTGCTTTTAAGCGAGGGGGAAGGCCTACACACGTACGCCGTGTCTAAGGTGATAACACAGGAAAAAAAAATTTTAGAAAATTCTACTTAGGAGAAGAAATTATACCGGGCTCTTATATCTCATCTACAAAAGAGACTCCAAAACCACCTCTCGTTCCTGTTCTTGCTGAAGTGATTAACGTTTAAATTCTCCCCGTAATATCCATGCACTGTACAGCAAACATGTAAAGAGAATATTCAAATTTATCGAGTAGAAGTTTCTATCTTGATCTAAAACTAAATTCTTGTTAGTAATTTACACAGATATGTGTGGAAGCTGGAGGGAAGAATTAGGAGTCATATCCTGAGAGTTCAGGGGTTGAAGGTGGTACCGAAGAAAAAGAAACTTCTGAAAAAAAATTCTCCATTGCAGAAGAAACTGTCCTGAGTTCTTGCATCTAAGCTAAAACAAAGTTTTACAAAGTTATGCCTCGCTCTGTTCTAGTTGGTTCTGCGAATGAACAATCCTGTACTTGTCTGTCGCGTTTAAGATGGTACCCTAGGTAAGAAGCTACTGTCGAAATTCGACATCGCAGAGGAAGCTGTCCTTTAGCTGCGACGAAGTTTCCTCTGTTAAGCCTCGTTCCGTTCCTGCTGGACGAGTCCCATACATGTTATCGTGCTGGGGTTACTACCACAGAAAAGAAACTCCTGAACGAATTCTAAATGACAGAAGAAACTTAGTCCTGGGGCCCGTTTCTCGAACGTCCCAATAGATACCGAAAATCCTCTTTTTGCTCGCCCTCTTAACATTCAAGGTCGAGATATATAGATAGCTTTGAAATTCAAAAAAACAAACATATCCACGAAACAGATGGGCTGTCATTTGAGCTAAGGCCTACGCCTCTATTCCCAAGCTACAGGTTTTAAAACATTGCTTCCAGGCCATAAAAAGGAGAGGAGTTTCAAGAGATAGCCTGTTACGTTTAAGCTGCCACAGAGCTGCTTCAGGTAGTCTATGAACCAGTACGACATGAACCAATGCAGGGCTTTCGAATTGTCAAGCGAGACGAACGCCCTTTATGGGCAAGGAAACTTTATGCGTATTATGGGTGGGTGGATGGATGATAATTCCGGAGCAAAACTACATACGTATATAAATTGGATACATCAACAAAGTTGAAATGGTAAATTGGCCACCGTAACGATTACAAAAGCTGACGTTTCGAGCGTTAGCCCTTCGTCGGAGCGAAGGTATACAATGACAGGGTGTAGGTAACTACATAAAAAAATAAACAAATAAAAATAAAATAAGAAAAAAATCAACAAAACAAAAAAAAAAAGGAAGAGGCCACATCCTGGCTTATACTGTCAAAGTCACCAATCACATTGAGGTGGTGCTTCAAGAAACAATTCAACTGTGTGAAGACTGTGCCTGGGTTGAATAAAACCTTCAATTCCACGATATAATCAAATTTCATATACACTTTATTAATTAAATTCTAACAATTAATTTAAACATACAAAACGCTAGATGTGCTGTTAGATAAATAGGAAGGGTCTGAAAATTTATATCATGTAACGTTTAAGAATGTTAATAAAATTTGGAGATGGTGAAGCAATGCCAATTTCAGACTGGTAAATGCAATAACATGGCGCAGTAGCTTAAGTCGTTATTAAAATTTAAATATGTACATGAAAGTAGTATGTCATGCTTAATGAAGTTCACTTCTCATTAAAGGTTGTGGTAAGAAAGCTTTACGAATCTGCACTTGTTAATCGAACGCTATGGTGACCGAACGTCATCAGAAAAGTACCGCGTTTCATGAAGACTCTTCGAATCTTTTTTTTTTTTTTTGGTCAACACATGTACACTGAAAATCTTAAGTATTTTTAAAAACAGCAGTGAGACGAATTTCTCTCCAAATTCTGACGAGTACGCAATATATACACGATCGACATGTACACAATATAGACACGATCACGTACGGCTCTTCCGTTAAAGAATATTAAACGTGGAAGGCAGTTGGATAGTATACCTATATCCTTGTCTATAGCGTATCGTCTACTCGTACAAGACACAAGTGAGTTGGTGTACGGTCTTGCTTTGATAAAAGCCAGGTTTGCCGTAGTCGAGGTTGTGAAAGCTGGCAAGTGCTCGTGTTCAATTTTGCATTTGCATAACAAAATGGTAATTGGCGGGGTTTCAAAAACAACTTTAAATCAGGTAACCTTGATGCTCTCCAGACTTGGTGATAAATTCAGTGTTTGCCACGCCTACAATAAAACCAGTTAACACGAATTATTAGCTGTAACATGACCGCACAAATCCCAATACTAAGCTGCACTGTGAATTCGAGATCATCTATGAATGTATGCGCAATAACGACTGAACGGTTTCAGACATAAAACGGGGACACGCGAAATTTAGTGATCAACTTTTCTTTCCTCTTCCTTTGTTTCTTTACGTCATCTATAGCGTGAAGAGATGACAGTTTTGTGTGCGCTTACCTTTTTGCGCGCGCTACGTGATGAGCAGGGAGGTCGCGAGGGGCGCTTAAAACTAGCCTCCGACCCCCGGGGGGGGAACTCCCATATGAAGCAGACGGGGATGCTCGTCGTCTCGCTTAGGGGTGTAAATTTTGGATTTTGGTCTCGCTTAGGGTGTTCCAGGCAAAGTGCCAATATTTTAAGTCGCTAAGGTCTCGTTTAGGGTTCCGCGAAGAAATACAGAATTACGCAAAGAGAAACAGAAGTAAAATTTTCTTTTTAACTTGTTTTGTTTACCGTATTACCTCAACATTAACTAGTTTTCTATTTTACCAAGTGCCAAAGAGACAATGCATGAACATGAGCGGTCTCTTTTAGGGGTCAAAATTTGCTTAAGCCACTGCCAGATGGTCTCCTTTAGGGGTTAAATTGAAAGTTTCCGAAGAGCATCCCCGTCTGATTCGCATGTGTGTCCCCCTTCCCCGGGCTCCGACCCAAGCGCCTCTCGCAGCTTTGCCGTTCATCGCTTCAACTCATAGAAAACTGCCAGCGACGCAAAGTGCGTCATATAAAATATGCACACGTTTTGGGAAACGTCAGATGATGGAAAGCGTAAACTTCGAGCAGCGCATCTACATGTACTTTCTTAATTGCACTTACCAGCCTGAATTTCATTTTGATGTTTTCAAAATTTTCAACACTACAGACAGCTTTGGCCACATTATTACCATCAAAAGGTTCTAATGACAAAACAAGAAAAGGAATTACTTATTAAAGCTACAGAAGTTGGCCACAAAAACGCTCATAATTGGAAACAAAAACAGACATAACTGACTGTTTCCCTCGCAATCAGACATTAAATGCGTACTGCGTGGAGAAAATAACTCACCTTCTACGAAAATCAACTTCCTTTTCCATTCTGAATCTCTTGGATAAGCAGCACCCATTGCGATGCTAATATAATCAGTACTCCAGCTACGTAAGGAGGAAAACAGAAGTGAAAGTTAGGAATACATAACTAAAAACAACACCCTTTCTCTGCTAAGATCTCACTATACTAATTCTCCTTACTGTCTGCCAGACAATTCTTGTGATGTTCCTTCGGAGAATTTGGTATTGGAACAACTAACAATTCCCTTATGATTTCTGTAAACTTGTAAACCAACTTTTTTTCTTAGTTAAGACATGACCCACCTAGATTAGCCAGCTACCTGTGGGCATGTCCAATTTGTTAAAATAGTCATTAGATATTAGAATAAATAAAGGTTGCTGTTGTTGTTGTTGTTGCTTAATGATATTTTTCTCTATTCTTGTCACCTGTCTGCTTGATATTGTATTGATACTGTTGGGAGAAATTCTGTCTTGGTCACTCAGGGAGCGAAAGGGTCAAATGAGTGTAACAGATGTCACTGTATGTTTTGTATCTGTTCAGCACCAAAAGATCATTGAAATCATACCTAAATTCCATTGCATAATATTTGAAGAATCCAATAAATAGCTCTCCTATAGATTGCCTGTTCTCTGATCTGTGAATTATGTGGCCAAAATTAGTATAAAGGACTAAAAATTGTTGGTATGTCACTGTGAATACATTTGGATTGGCACAATAATGCAGAAGGAAACGTGGTATTAACTTACTTGTTACAGACCATATGTTTACATGGATTCTGTGTCAAAAGGCTTGAGAAGTCACTTGTGTATCTGAACAATGCCTGTTAAATATTACAAAACAAAAAAACACCAAAATATTACATTTTAACAAAGAAGCTTTTCAAAAACAACACACACACACATGAAAGTATTTCTCATGTTTCTCCTCTTGTTGTCGTGCATCTTATGACCAAGATCTGGTTATAACTTCTCCCCTCTAGCTGCTTCTCATTCCTTGACAAGAACATATGAGAACTTGGTGTTAGATCAAGATGTAACAACTTCTAACTGATAAGTTTGAGTGTCCTCATTACACATTTGCTTTCCAGGCAATGTATGTATATTATATACAGTGTATGTAGCAAGACCTTACATGTTCATCAACTCTGGGACTTGAAGGGTTCATAGTCAAATGCAATAATTAGACAAAATGATATCCAGTTAAGGATATTCTTCTATACAAAAAAAGGTGTGCATATAGGCACATGTCGTACGTACTGGATATTGCCTTTGTAAGACAGGAACTACAGCAGGTTTACATACACCTGACAAAGAAAAAAACAGATTGCATTCAGAAATAATTCTTGAATAACTACACCAAGAACATTTCATCTTCCCCTCTCCCCAGTTATAAATTTCTGGATATGCTCATGTACTTGTACAAATGTGTGTGTCAGGGGAGCTTCCTTACTCACACTCACTTACTAAGAGCTAACCAAATGCACCATAACAACTTTAAAATACATGTAAAAATTAATGTATCTTAAGGTTGATTTCAGAAATACCTTGTAGATAGTGAATGACCATAAGAGCAAGAGCATAACTAGAGAGTGTCCCCAGGCTGGCATCATTGATGTCATGTGTTTTTGCCCACCTCTTAACTAACATCACCAGCGGCTGGACACGATAATCCACTGATGTAAAGATAAATGAAGGAATAAATGAATAAAGAAATACATGGTACATAAATTAATAAGCATGAATGAATAAATTAAAACCTGCTGATCCCTACAAGCGACTAGCATCTAATTTCTCCTTACAAGATCACCTCTGAATCAAATGTTAGGGTCATAAGGAAAAAAAAAATTTGCGCAACCTAAGAAGCTAATGAGTGTTGAATGCATTTTCCTGACAGCACCACAGGAAATTTATACAGAAGAGTGTAGAGAACATGCATACTGACATTAGAAGAGTATAGAGAACATGCATACTGACATTAGAAGAGTATAGAGAACATCCATACTGACATTAGAAGAGTATAGAGAACATGCATACTGACATTAGAAGAGTATAGAGAACATGCATACTGACATTACAAGAGTATAGAGAACATGCATACTGACATTGGGGTGTAAAGAGTTCATCAAAAAGCAAATGTGATAAAGCATGCATGTTTTTCATTTTAATATTATTAGTACTAGGTGTGCTGCAAGTGAAGGAAATAAAACACATTACTATAAACTTCATTGTGGAAAGATAATAGATTAGCACAAAAGGATGCCACCAAAACCTCATGCTGTGCAGCTTAGTCTGTATCAGCTTAGAAAAAAATAGCCCATTTCCAAATTTCCTTCAGCCTCTTTTTCAAAGCGAGTCCTGGTGCTCATCCTTTCATATGATAATAAGTTTTCATTCACATGCAAATGAAACTCAGTTTCATATGTATGGTTGAGCACCAAGCCTCGTTTTGAAAAAGAGGCCAAACGTAAATCGGGAATGGCCTATTATGAACATGTGAAAGTGCATGATCTTAGCACAACAGTTTTAACCAACTGAAGAATGAAAATCAACAGAAATTCTAATTCAAGACAATCATAACTTGCCTCCACAGTAGGCTCTTAGCAAGTGAGTGTTCCTCAAACCCTGAAAAATAAAAACAAACTTTAAGTTAAAATTAAGCAACACAAGAAACAGGTCTAAAAGTTCAACCTCTGAACACAATTTACAACAAGGGCTGAGATATAGTAGAACTCTGCCACCTCAAACTCCTAAAGGACACAAAAAATGGTTCAAGTTCGTGGAGCTTTGAGTTAGCTGATAGTAAATGACTGAAAAAATGGGTTGAAGGAAATTAGTTCTTGTTTGAGTTTAGCCTGAAATAGTACACATAGATTCCTTTTCAGCTAACACCTATTTCTCACATCTTTATCACAAAAAAGAAAGATTGAAAGCAAACAAACAACAACTTACCACAATGTTATTAATGTTGATGTCACACTCACAGCCACTACAGAAGAAACAGACACAGAATTAATTGTAGCAATATGAGCAGCCAGTGATAAAGAGTTAAGACCTAGAAACTGTTTTGGGTTGAAGGCTACAGCTGTAGCTCATAAAGCGAAGGTGTCTTTTAGACCCCCACTATAAACATGTACAATTTGGATATATCAACAAAGTTGAATTGGTAAATTGGCCACGGTAACGATTACAAAAGCTGACGTTTCGAGCGTTAGCCCTTCGTCAGCCTTTAAACATGTACAAACTTGTTATAAGCCTGCCGAGCTCTCACCTGATCATATCCTTGAATTTTAAAATTGGTACACCAGCAGGAATAACTGTGCATCTACTAAGGAAGGCTGTTGAACAATTCATATATGTGAGATGAGATGGACTCTTTGCATACAACATGTACAGTACATGACACTGCATGGTCCCCTTAGACAAATCAATACTGCAAAATTATAGTGAAGTTTTTGTCTACAATGACACATAGAAAAGCTCCAGCTTCCATAAACATAGATGTATATCACAGGGTGACACATCACTATAAACATGTACAATTTGGATATATCAACAAAGTTGAATTGGTAAATTGGCCACTGTAACGATTACAAAAGCTGACGTTTCGAGCGTTAGCCCTTCGTCAGCCTTTAAACATGTACAAACTTGTTATAAGCCTGCCGAGCTCTCACCTGATCATATCCTTGAACAAAGTTGAATTGGTAAATTGGCCACTGTAACGATTACAAAAGCTGACGTTTCGAGCGTTAGCCCTTCGTCAGCCTTTAAACATGTACAAACTTGTTATAAGCCTGCCGAGCTCTCACCTGATCATATCCTTGAACAAAGTTGAATTGGTAAATTGGCCACTGTAACGATTACAAAAGCTGACGTTTCGAGCGTTAGCCCTTCGTCAGCCTTTAAACATGTACAAACTTGTTATAAGCCTGCCGAGCTCTCACCTGATCATATCCTTGAACAAAGTTGAATTGGTAAATTGGCCACTGTAACGATTACAAAAGCTGACGTTTCGAGCGTTAGCCCTTCGTCAGCCTTTAAACATGTACAAACTTGTTATAAGCCTGCCGAGCTCTCACCTGATCATATCCTTGAACAAAGTTGAATTGGTAAATTGGCCACTGTAACGATTACAAAAGCTGACGTTTCGAGCGTTAGCCCTTCGTCAGCCTTTAAACATGTACAAACTTGTTATAAGCCTGCCGAGCTCTCACCTGATCATATCCTTGAATTTTAAAATTGGTACACCAGCAGGAATAACTGTGCATCTACTAAGGAAGGCTGTTGAACAATTCATATATGCGAGATGAGATGGACTCTTTGCATACAACATGTACAGTACATGACACTGCATGGTCCCCTTAGACAAATCAATACTGCAAAATTATAGTGAAGTTTTTGTCTACAATGACACATAGAAAAGCTCCAGCTTCCATAAACATAGATGTATATCACAGGGTGACACATCACTAAAGAAGTGTTAAACTTGGAATTCTTAATGAGACTGCCTGACTGATAACTCACTGTTTTTAGGGTCATTACTCAATACTCTCTGAATTTTCCCCAAAATTGGCAGAGCTTCTCGTCTGTTGTTTGACTAAAATCAAATTAAATTGACAACAATTTTATTAGAAGTAACTTAGGAAAAGAACTTCATAAGAGAAACTTACAGTCATATACTATAATCTCACCTGCTGTAGATGTTTTAAAATCAAACAGAAATCAGCATCACTAGTATTGCCACCAAAGCCATTGCTTGACGAGCCACAGAGATGTAAAGAACAACCTGAAAAAAGAAAACAATTTTACAACTGATCTGAACTTAACCCATTTACACTTGTGATCTACATAACAGACCACCTCCTTGTTAGCTCAATGGATAGAGCGCTGGACTGCTGTGCAGGAGGTCAAGGGTTCAAACACCCGCTGGACCAACACTCAAGGTCTTAGAATAATTGAGAAGAATATGCTACCTTTCTATGACATCAAGAAATGGTTAGATATTCTAGTCTTCTCGGATAGGGACGAACAAATGGAGGTCCCGTCTCCTACAGGGTTAGGGGTAGGAGACGTTAATTTCCCACGCACGAGATTACTGTGTGATGGATGTCCTCCCCTGGGGTGGGATGGCTTAACTGACATCACNTTATTGAGTGGACTGTGTGATGTGGGATTTATTGGGTGGACTGTGTGATGGATGTCCTCCCCTGGGGGTGGGATGGGTGGGATTTATTGGGTGGACTACTCGCATGGTTCGCATATGTTCCATTCTAGTCCTACCCTACTGCAGTGTCTGTTCTACATTTATATAATTGTGGCTCTGAGTATTTGTTTTTTAATCAAACAGTATCCTCATCACCTTTCTGCTGGAAGATGTATTGTTCAGATAAAGAAAAAAAATTCCTTTTTTTTTCTTTCTTGAAAAAGGACAGATTACTACAGAGCACTTTGTGTAATGTATAGCACCTAACATACAACATCAAACACTATCGTGATGTGACCCCTTCTTCCCCCAAATAAAGGGGACAATCAAAAACTTAGCAAGGGCTAAAATGTCATTCATAATTTTTCTTCTGACATATTACCAAGATTTCATGAATTCTGTTTTGTTACATTTCTTGATTAAAGACCCTCATCATGAAAAAAACTGAAAGTAAGACAGGCTTTCAAAAACATGCACACTACCTACAAGAAGCCTAGAGAAAGACAAGTAATCAAAAACCTCCATCTTAGAGTTTTTTATTGGAAGGGAAGGATGGGAGGCAGGTTTGTTTGGAGCTTTAATCCCTAGAGAGGGGGACTGGAGCCCATTACATGTAAAATTTACAGTAGTGTACATGTACCTGGAAAAAATGGTGACAAAGTTCTTTCTAGAAAAGATTTCAACTTTAATTTCTTTTCCAGTGTCTCAACAGTTTGCACACATTTCAAGCATTCTTCTTGTATCTCTTGGGTAAGCTGAAACAAGAAAAACTATTATTACCAAACACTAAAGGGGTTTTGTGAACATGGAAATGTTGGCAATCAAGGTATCTATTCAACTGGTTTCTATCCTATTTACATAATGCAAGCATCAAAAAAACAATACATGTACATTTTTCTCAATTGTTGTACCTGTAAGTTAGAGTTTAATTTGTTACAACTTGAATAATCAGGCTTTTATTTGATTCTGACTACTCAAGTGTACAGGGTTCAACACAATTGTCTTATGAAAACTGTGTTTCTTGTCACAAAATTGCCAACCAAAGTTCTGCTAATGATCCTCTCTTAACCAGTGAGCTATGAACTGTTACATTACTACATACAGGAATGTATACATGTACAATTGTATCAGCATGAACGCATAAGTCCTAATTAAATATCCCTAATTTATTGAACAATAATTAGGATGTGCTCCTCACACTCCAAGAAAAATACTTACTGTTTCCAGGGTAAAAACAGGTGGTTCTACTTCAAACTGCTGAAATCTCAATGACCTGGCAGTATTATTACATGTAACTTGGGAAGTACTACATCTTTTCACTCGCTTGGTAATGACTTCCTCTTGAAAGCCTGGAGTTACAGTAGAGTGATGACGGCGCTTGGGTGGTCTTCTTCCAGTACTTTCTCTGCTCCAGCCGTTCAGCGCCTTACCATGGCTAAAGCTTTTTGTTCTTTGTTTATTTGTGACATTCACACTTATTGCTGTCTGATCTGAAGAAGTTGCTGAACTTGTACATGTAGATATTGAGGAATTAGAGTTTGTACTTTTTCTGTCACTATACTGGGCATCAAATTTTGACTTGTATTCTGATGGCATTGATGGCTTAGGGGTTTTCCAGGTGAAAGCAGATAGATCTCTTTCATTAGGCTTAGGAAGGTATTTCTCAAGATCCATAAATGATGGAGTGTATACTAACGGTCTCAGCCAGTTATTTCCTTTCCTTCTGCCTTTCCCAAAGTTTGTCATTGTCTTGATTACATTCTAACAAAAAGTGAAAATAATTATCTGTTATTTGGACTTGCAAACTTAAGGAGACTCCACAGATTTTACCATAACTTGTTCTAAATATGACTGCTATTGGTTAAGAATTCATCTTATGGCCTAACAAAGATTCAGCCAAGTTGCAGTTTTGTTTTCACTCCAGTCTTAGTGTTTCATTGACAAAACAAAACTTCCTGTTTTCCTTCCAACCAAACATTATGGGCTGGTTATTTAAACAAAGTTTAGCTGTTGTCAACAAAACCACATTCTAAACTATCTTTGTTTCAGCCAAACCTTTTGTCAGGAAATTTATTTTTGTAAACAGTGTTAAGAGGGCTGGAAGCTGACAATCAAAGGACACTTATTTAATTAACTCAACCCTCTAATAAAAGGAACCAGAGGCCCATTGCCTGGGTAAGGCCGCAATTTTGGTTAGACCTTGTTTATAATTATAACTGGCCTTATGTATGTGGCAGCCTTGCAGGTTGGTTACTTTCCTTACGAAGATATGAATAAAATTAACCAAATGTGTTTGCTCAGTTGATCATCTTTGTAGTCATATTTCGAAAATATTTCGCTTCAGCCTCTTCGACAAATAATGTTAAAAAACGAAATTCTTGTGTCTATATATATCTAGGATATTGATGTTTCTTGTCATTTTTTCATAGTATCTGATTTATCATCACAGGTTTTTTTTTTTTTTTTTATTACACAGATGTGCCTCACAGTGCAGAGCCTCTCACTCGGAGGCGTGCCACTACGGCTCCCGTGATTTGGCAGGAGGTGCGCGCCTACTCTCCAACTCCCCTGGGACTATCTAGTGCACGCGGGAATCCATTTTAGCCGCGTGGTGATGTGTTTCGTGGAAGTGGCAGGCGTGAGTACAAGGCTCACCCGAAAGAGATCGTGTACGCGG